TTCAAATACATCTATGGTCAAAAAATTAATCACTCATCCCGTGACTGGAACTAGCATTTTCCTTTTCCGATGGCTGTTTTGGGGAGCATCCAAGGCTGAGAGACGATTGGACACTGTCTGTGAAGAAATCTACGCTTCATATCCTGTCGGAGACTCAAACTACAGTTTGTCAAAAACGTCGGGAGGGACCCAGCATGCATATTATATAAATCAGTATATATCACTATAGAGTCGTATCTTTGCAAATTGTTATTCTTCTTCTACTGCCATTGGATTTTTCTGTGGGTTAGGTACCCTGCTAATGCGTGAACGCAACAATTCCTTCAGAGTGAAAGGCCCTACTCTGTACAATGAAAGCACCAGTATATGACAAAGCTTTGCCCTTCGGTCAATATTTTGCCCCAAAACAAGTTAGAAGCAAGCATCACTCCTTTTCTTGTTTCACATTATGAACTTATGAATTACAATGAATACTATGATGGTGATTAATCTGTGTGATGCAACGATAGCGTTTGGTCACATATGCATACAACGTTTCTCTCACAGTCATTCGTCACGTGATTCATTTGATCGGTATTTTTAGCAAGCTAGGGATGATTGTAAAGGATGCCTTGTATATATATACGAGTATTATGCAATTATTTTTACTCTACCAACTTAACTAAAAGGAGGAACAAGAAAAATGAAAAGCAAACCCCCTTATATTTTCTTTTTAAACTTATTGCAAGGGATCATTTTATTCCAGTTTTTTTATATTAGATTTGTGTTATCACATTGTTTGTGATTAGATTGACCCTGGTTTTTTTTAAGGAATTTTAACCCTACTTATTTAAACTCGTGCATTGGATGAGAGTTGAATGGTATGAGTAACTTTTTCATGTATCATGAACACAATTCCATAATGTTACTTCATTCAAATCATAACACGTATATATAGTCAACACCAATTGTTACCTTGCACCTTAATTAAATGTTAATTAGTTTTAATATCATGTTTAATTTTTTGGAAAAGGAATAAGGTCACTACTCTAAACTTTTCTCTTTGTTTTTAAAACTATTAACTGTGAGAATGTGAAGGACAAAATCCTATATAGGTGATATCCATTTCTTGCAAGGGCTTATCGGGAGTTGGACTATTCTTCATATTGCAAACTGGTTTTATGGCGGAACATCAACTTTCTCCATAGTATTAGAATTTAATTTTGATCTTGAGACCTATGGGTTATGGGCCCACCACGCTTTGTCGCACCCATAGAAGCTTAATGGAGATTCAATAGAAGCCTAATGGAGATTTGTAATCTCACTAAGGAAGGACCACAAGTTTTTTAAAAGACATTTTAAATTTGTCTATCACTATTATGGTTAATGTCTTAACTTATATTTTGTTTAAGTCTTGATGTTCATGTGGATAGGTATGTTCATAGTTGTGATTATGAAACTATAATGTGTTTGTTAGTTCATTGTGAGAATGCTTATTTGCCCGAACATGTTAGGAAACCATGTTGGTTTATATTCCCTGTTGATGTCACTAAGTTAAATTCTAATTTCGATTTCCACTAATGAAAGCAAATGACCAGTTCGACCAAATGGAAGAATGTTGAAATATTTTCTTCATGTGTCGCACGTATTAGGAGAAATCCCAATGATGCCTAATGTGGTCTCCTAGTCACTTATATGGATTGCTTGGAAATCCAATTACGTTTTGGAATATTAACTTAGCATATCACGTGCCCACTAAGGTTAGTGATCAATTTGAGTAATATGGGCAAAAGGGGTTTCATATTCTATTTGGACTTAATTTAGGGAAGTATATAGATATATAAGGATTAATCCTATTAAGCTTATGATGGGCGTATCCTATTAGAATTATGTCTATATACGAAATAAGGGTCCTTGCTGGTGTTACGTGAGTTCCATATTATACTCATCTTTCAGTATTGTAACCTAATGTTAATACCACATGTTAAAATACTAGAACGAGAGAAATAGCACATGTTATAGTCCGCATAGTACAAAGAAATCAGTGAAAAGTATAAGGATGAATATTGGAGGGGAAACAGCCTAACAGGTGTTACATTTGATGTAGTTGCTGCTGAATAGTAAAGATTAAGATCACAAGATTGAATATAAAAGTGAACATATGAAAAAATAAGATTGAAAACCCTGAATAATACAAGAGAGAGTAGATTCTGATTTTTGAGATGATTCGAAAAAATATGCATAATTCGTTGGTTTTAATTTATTTATAAGGATTTATATGTGTGCGCATGCGATCCTTCAAATACTTAAAAAAAACTTCTGGATTCTATCTGTGAGATCATGACCATTAAAAAAAGAGTTCCTGTTATGAAACTGGAGTCACCAGACAAAGATTACGTACGCCTTAAGTGATAAACAAATTCTAATTAAATTAGACAAAATTTCATGTGGAGTGCAAAGGATCAGACAAATCCCCCAGCATAGTGTTTACTAATTCCACCTTCTGCACTACGATATTGCATAAGTTGCAGATAAACTTTTCTAACATAATATATACAGTATAATTAAGCTAAAGTAATGTTAGGTAGACTAATTTTTTAGATCAAATTTACAAATCATGTGATGGATGCCAATAAAAATAAGCACGTTAATCAACACTTAAATAATAATTCAATCATCAAACGTCATATAAGTTACAAAATTTAATCTAAAAATTTTGTCTTTCCAACCTTGCCCTTCCCAATACGATGTTAATATGTTTACGCAAGAAAACGGTCTCAGAGGGTAAATACATCAAACAAAATAATCAACAGTACAGCTTTCTTTGGGATTTTAGAAAGTAATAACTCATTGTACATAAGATAGTACTAAACTTTTACTCATTAGTTTTATGCACTATTTGGAGTGCACTCCTCCAAATGAGTGTTAGAAGCCCCCAGAAAATGATAAATACTACAATAGCAAATTATGATTTGATATTTAATTTATATTTGGAAGATATTCACTAATTTTAACAAGGTTTAACTCGAAGTGGTGGCTTATTATCATATGGTTTTTCATTTCAACATATTATTTTTACTGTTCAAGTCACTTCTCCTCAGTTTATTAAATTTTAAAAGTAATGATATCGATTGATTATAAAAAATAAAAAAATAAAAACGAATAGAATTTCTACAATTTGTCCAATTTTTTGTCTGTATGTGCAGAGTCGTATAGTATTTGCCGTTTGTCGTGATCGCATATATCATTAACAAATTATTAGCCAATAAAAAGCCTAGAGCCTTTAATGGAAAATGTGGAAAATGGGTGTGTCCTTCAATCCCCAAAATTTGATGAAAGTCTTGTCATATATTTGCCAAAAAGAAAGCCGTCTTCACCGACTTAGAAGCAAGCTTTTCCTTTTGCACTGTACTAATTGCCAAGGAAGTTTGACATCATATTATGCACTCTAAGAGCATCCCCAATGGGGGTTTTATCTTCGTTGTGGAAGCTTTTTTTTAAGTGATAAAAAAGAAAACCCTGGCGATTTACTTCCTCATCGGATGCAGTCTTACGTAAACCTTCAATATGTGAAATTGTTCATTGAAAACAAGGTGTAACGGCATGCTATGCAATATTAACTTAGAGGTTCGAAAAATAGAACTTAGAATATAACTTAAAGTGTTTTTTTTTTTTCATTTTGAGTTTATCACTTGTCTCATGTTCATTATTTTACGATTAGATATAGAGCAAAAGCTATTCCATTCGTATTTATATCCTTTCTAAATTTTTGAATATTTTATATACCATATGGCCCCTAACTTTAATTATTTCATTTTCATTTTGGCTCCCTAGACCATCCGAGGACATCTCGTATGTACTCGTATCACGAAGAAGTGTACCACATAATATAATAGCAATGTACTGCATATGATGTATATGTTCAGTGTTCACCCACCAAATAATAAAAACATGTACATGGTGCTGCAAATTGGTGAATGCTAGGACAACGTCCCACGTGTTACCGTATTGTCCGTATAGTTTTTGTGACTACCCTACAAAACAAAGGCATGTGGGTACCCTTGCTTGTGGAGAAAAGCCCCAGTCTATATACGTTCATCAAGAAGAGAACATTAATAACACTAAAAGCCAAATATATATACGACATTACTACAGATTCCTTGCATTGCAATCAGTTACGATAACCGGAAAATTTGGAAGGGAGAAAATGAGAGTTAACTACATTTTACACCTTTTAAATTAAAATGAAATTTTGATCAATTTAATTTTTTTTATTTTAATTTGCGTTGTAAGGTATTAAAATTAAATTGGTTGATTGATTTTTCAGAATCCATTAAATTGAAGATGCAATGAGCTTGAGACCTTTATCTGAGCTAATTGTAAGCTGCACTTGCACTATATTGACAAAAGAAAACTCATTGATTTAATGGAAGATTAGATGTTCAAAGAGACAAAAGGTACAAATTGATACAGTTTCAAAACCTCAAGATGCAATGTGGGAAAATTAGAACCTTATGACAAATTTTGAAAAACAACTCAAACCTAAAAGGTGTAAAATGTACTTAGTCCTTAAAATAATAAACACCGAAGATATCGATATTGAATTGAATGAAGTTAAAGTTTCACCCTAAAATTAATTGGCAACAAGAATGAGCGACAACTCCTTATAACTAGATTTCTTACTTCCCTTTCACTCATGTATGGCGCACTCAAGCAAATACATGAAGAACACATATTGAGTAACGTAGAGGGGGTGTGGTCGTTAGGTTTTAGACATAAACTAACTTGTTTTGATATCATTTAAAAAACTAAAATTCCACCCAAAATTAAACTGCATAATAAGAAGAATGACCTCACTAATTGTTCCCGTAGTAGATTTGGATCTAACACCACGTGTTATGGCCATTGTGGATTACAAATTGATCCCGGCTAATGCTCGTTATAAAAAAAATTCCAAAAGTAAAAAACAAAAAAATTATTTAATAATATATATATATAAAGATATTTATATACAAAATTGCAAATTTAACTTTATTAAAATTCATATATTCAAATATTACACTAAAATTAACAACAAAATGAGTAGTTATATTACGAAATATACCAAATCACCAAAATATGTAGAGACTTTGCTTCACACTCTAAAACAAAACTCAAGTCCTAGTTCCAACCTTGGTCCTCCAATGATATTCGTCTTCTCTGCAATTGTTTCTTCAAGAAGACACACATCTCCTGTAAGCCAATCACACTTTAAATTTATAGGTGGCTGTAAATGTAGTTGATATTTGAGTTATAAACTCTCATGAATTAAAACAACTAACCACCTATGAGACAAACAAGGAAAAATATAAAGCTTAGAAATAAAAACTCATCACTCAGGGCCCATATATTGAAAAATTCAAATCCACAAAGTCATTAAAATTCTGGTACCAAGAAAAATAAAAAATAAAAGAAATTAAATGTTAGGAAAAAAATGCAAGTCAGTTCAAATGAAGGATTTCTTCTAAGCAAGGTTTACAAACACATGGCATTAAACAATGTGAACTCTCTACAACTTTAATACAAAACATAATGTATAGTAAGGTATGTAAATACAAAAAAATTTTGAATTAACCTGTCATCTCCTTCCACATTGCTTTGACATTTATCCTATCTAAGATTCCACCTGCTATCAAATCAAACCTTGATTTGATGAGAAACGAAATTCTGCATGAAAAAAAAAAGTCATGAGAAGTCTTGCATTGCGGTCTAAGAGAAACAAATTGAATCAGTTTTAGATACTTGCAAGCCTTCAGCCAGAAACAATGCATTGTTTAAGGTGTACACGATTAAAGATACAATAGCAATAGCAAATTCAACGGAGAGATTGGGAGGAGTTACCATCAGCATTGGTAGCTGCCATTTCGACATCTTGCAGAGTTATCAGTCTCTTCGTCACAACCTCCTTTTGATGCTAAAATCAAAATTAAATTACATAAAAATTAAATAAATATACAAACACATACATACAGTAATTAAATATAATTTTGATGGAGTAATTAGTCAAGTGGCAAAAAAAAATGAATGAAGAAATACCAAGAAAATTGATGGAGTAATTAGTTACTATCTTCAAGACGGGGCATGTACCGCAGACCCGTCTTCTTTAAATACTGGTATGTGGATTGTAGGTCTGGAGCAACACGATCAAATTTATTTTTTATTTTTTTTTTTTTTTGCAATGGAAAAGCACAATCGCGTCTTGCGTTTTCATCCTCCCTTCTCATGTTGTACATTTCAGTTTTTTGTGGCAGTTTTTTTGTGTGGTTTCGGTTTTGACGCCACTTTTTTTTTTTTTTTTAGTGTTTTCGGCCAGTTTTAGTGTTTTTTTATTTGAGGGATGTTTTAGTCCAATTATTTTTTGTGAAGTCATGAAACACCAAAACTCACTTCTGGCTTTCTAATACTAGCATTTGCCTACACATTTTTTGTGCATGAACACATATTTTTAGAAAATGAGAAGGAGAGAGAGAACGTGGGGGAGTAGGAGGTTTTTTTTTTGTTTTTTTTTTAATATTGGAGGTATTTTTACATCACCTGTAGGTGAGGCTTCAATGAAAAACAGTAAAATCTGGAATTGTGAAATTACATTATTGCCCATCATTTTTTTGTGTGATAGAAGACTAAGTAGCCTTTTCACCCTCTTTTGGTTGACAAAGAGGGTTTCATTAATTATTAGAGATTAGATATTAGAGATACTAAAAAATAAAAAATTTAAATTACAAAGATAACAATTATAGTTCGTCGTAAATTAAAAGGGCAATGTTGTTAAAACTTTTTGCAACCACGGGCTTTCTTCGTGGTAATATTTAGCTAAATTACAACGGGTTTTAAACGCGCATTGTTATTTTAACCATTTCAACCACGGGTTTGTTTATGCCCGTTGTTATAATAATTATTTACCACAAACTTCAAATGTCCGTGGTTAAATTTGACGTTTTATAACGGACTTTATACGTCCGTGGTCAATTAGCCGTGGTAGATGTAGTGTGGCGTAGTGCATTTTCATGAAAAATCTCCATAAAATAAGGATAAAATGATAAAAATACTCTCAATTTTGGTCAAATCATTTTGCCCTATTGTTTATTAAATTGAGGGTAATTTTGTTATTTTGATCCTTATTTAACATAATTTGTCACCCAATGACCAAAATGATTGATGGTGGACAATCTCATGAAACACTTCTATGGATTTCAAATCTCAGAGACCAAAGTGAGAAGTTATGCAAATCTTAGGAATCATTTTAGCTAAAAAACCTTCTCAATATTTTGCCGAGATATTTCTTCATGTCATCACACAGGAACCCTTATGAGATCAAAATATATGTATATCTCAGATAAGCGTATTTATATGTGGTATTGACATAAATACGTATACTATACAGTACTGCCGACTCCCTCAGTAGTGATGGACAAGACCCTGCGGTGCAGGTGCTTAATAAACTCACCCTCCCATGCCATGCCAAGCCAATTGCCCGCCCTCTCAGTCTCTGTCGGAACCCCACCTCTCTCTCTCACCCAAAAATTAAAGGAAGGCAGCTAGGTATAACGACAAAATAAGGAAAGAAAAGCATCAGAAGCTTGCATACGGCAAGAGAGTTTTCTCTTTCTACAATCGAATTCTTGTGAACATTTCTCCTTTTGCACTTAAATTCCACTCATAATTCTCTGCCCCACGTACTGTAGCATATACATGGCATTCTAATACACATAGATGATCGATCGAAACAGAAAGAGATTTAGCAAGTTCTTTATTTACTTTTGCCAAAAACAAGATGTATAGTTAATTTCCATCCTTTTTACTCCTAGTTTTCTATTACAAAAGTGTGTCTACAATTTTAAATCCCAAAGATATTTATCTGTAAACCACAGGACGAAGCCAGCTAGAGAGTTAGTTCACGGAGAGCACAACAGAGCAGTGGCAGATGTAAGTCCTCATGAAATTCCAAACATAGTGCGTACAACGCCAATTTTTTTCAATTTTTTTATGCGAGGCATTTTATTGAGGACTTGGCAAATCCATCCACGTTGTGTGTTTAGCGTACTTCCCACCATTTGTGTCATTTTAAATGTATCTTTAGGTCAATATTGTTTTAAAAAATAAATCACATATGTTAGGACTAGAAGGTCAAATTCATAAGACGTATGGGAGGATGGAGGGTTAATAAGCCTTTATTATTTTAAGAAAAAATGACTAACGTTAAATTTTTTATTTTCCCAAAGTTGTTACCCTTAAAACCTATAGACTTTCCCCTATGTCGTCTTCTTCTTCATCCTAAGCTGCCAATAACCAATTCAGCAACTAAATTTTTTTGTGTCATATTTGTCACCTTATGGTTTTGAATGAGGAACGAGTGATAAAATTGATGATAGTGGTGAGTTAATTATTATTCAACATCGTATAGAGCGATTGAAAATAATTATGATTTAATGAAACCCTGATTCCTATTCAGACCATTTTTTTTCCAACCACAAACTTGAGAGGGGTATGTGCTCCCTCTGGCCCATAATAAGATTCGCCCCTGGCCATGACAACGCTCAAGGCAATAAATAAAAAACTACTGTTAGGGTAAAGTTATATTTGTAGGAGCACTTCCAACTAGGGGATGGTTGATCTGATCCCCTCCACCCCCCACACCACCACCCCCATCCCCACCCCAAAAACAAAAAAACAAAAAAAACCACTCCAGCCCGTCCAATTCACTAGGCTCCCTGGGAGCCCAGTTGCTCATCCGGTAGATAATTGACCAACCCAGCTCCCAGGGATAGTGACGCAAGATTTACGTCATAGTATCGTTAGCCACTATTAAAAATTATGAAAAATTAATTAAATATTATAAAAAATACCAAAAAAAATCATAAATTTTTTTGTAGAATACAAATAAAAAAAAATTCTATAAATAGCTAACTATGTTCTTCTGTCTTACACCGCATTTCAATATTTATAAATACTTTTAACCAATCTTTTATTATTATCTGAAATTAAAAATAAAATTATTTTTTATTATTTTATTAAAAAATGTTTTAATTACGAATTGTCTAAGCTATTCAGTTTAGAGGTAGAGATGCACTTTGACATTTACTATTCATCAATTAATATTCATTTGGGAATATTGAATTGCCTATTGCCAAGGCGGCTTTTTAGGAGTCGAAGTGCTCCAATATGAAATGGTCCAATTAGTAACAAATGTTGTTGCAAGGGAAAAATAGTCCAATCTAAACATGAAAAAAATAATATCCTGTTCATTTTAGTCGATCATATCATGTAATTGTTTACGTGTACTTGTTATATTTACCGTATGATTAGTTACTTAACAAATTGTAACTCCTTTAACATTACTTGAAATACAATCTGTATCATTGTGAGGAGTGAATCTATATTTTTTTTCCATTGCCAGAAATGGATCAAATTACTTCCATCTATGAAGAGGAGAAGTAAAAGAGTGAGTAAAGGGGCAAACAGAAAGTGAAAAAGAAAGAAGAGGGACAATCGCAATTGCAATTCTTCAAAAAGCCAGAAAGTAAAAAGCACTTTGCTGAGTGCTTAAGGGTCAATCTTGTTTATAAATAAGAAAAAATAAAGCAAGGGAAAAGAGAACCAAACAAATTTTAAAAACAATAGAAAATAATCTTAGCACATTTCAATAGGACAATCATGTAGCATCATGACATTGCCATTGGATATTGGGGGTCTAATTTTGAAAATAAGAAATGGGACTTGTTTTTAAGTGATTGGTGGTCTACTGCTATTAGAACAAAAAATAATCCAATATAAAAATATAGGTACATATATATAATTTGCAAGAGATATAATATGATATATGTATACGTTTATACATAAAATAAAATGAGAAGCAAAAGGGTTTGGCCAATGGTCGTTTTCACACTGAGGTGGAGGTTACTCCAAATAAAATAAGAGCAGCAATCACAATGTATTGTTTATTTACCATTTTTTCTTCTTCTTATTGATGCTTGTAAGTATTTACCCTGTATCATTTTGTTGTTTGCTTTTCATCACAGAAAGAAATGATGTTTTCATATGAGAGAGAGAGAGAGAGAGAGAGAGAGAGAGAGTTAAATCCCAATCTAAACACCTGAAACTGAAAGTGCAAAAACCGAGTGAATCAGAAGCGCACGTGGGCAGGATGACACATAGAATCAGAATATCAGATATATACACGGACAGATACATAGAACGATAGATTGGGTTTGAAGCCCAGCGGATCAATGCAAAGAAGCCGGGACCAGATACGAAGAGTTGTGCCAAAGTTTCTGTTTTAAGTATGCTTTTGCCCTATTGCCAGTAACCTGGTTTCCCCATGACTTGTGAGAAAATTCGACTGTACTCTGGTGTTATGGCAAGCACCGAAGCGACAGATAGCTGGATGTGTGGCCGGAAATTTAGTAAGGGAAGATCCAACGACTAAAAAGCGCAATATATACTATACACCGGTGTTTAAAAAAAATTCATGACTTGCGATCTTCACACTAGTAGTATTTGTTTCTAATCAAAGCAAACATAAATATCCACAAGATCAAATGAACCCAAATAAATAATATTGTTAAACATTGGACTAGCTAGTTAATTGTTTATCACTACGATTATTTGCAAAACAGAAATGATCATACAATCTAAGTATTAATAATAGTTGAGATTTTTTTTGTTTGGAATAGTTTGCAAATTCTTTATGACTATATGTTCATGATTCAACAGGATAAATTAAAATGAGGACGACTATGAGTATGCGGACTTTTACTTTCTCATGTGGGATAACACTTTCTGCTGATGACGACGAAGATCAATAAATGCTTGGAAATTAACTAGCAAGGGATAGAAATTCCTAATTTTTTTGTTCATGGGGTTGGTCGATTCAATTATAAGAGAATCGCCTGATATACATAGCTCATAATGATATAAATATATAGAAGGATTAAAAATTAAAAATTGAGAAAAAAAGAGGTGGAAATTAGTGATGAGAGAAACCTATACTGCAGTACTAGTAGCAGCAGCAGCAGCAACGGTTTTACTTGAACCGCCACCATCAACACCGCCACCGCTATCACCATCAACACCGCCACCTTGAGTGGACGCTACCGACATATTCCCGACAAGCGCAGTGGCAGTGACCGTCGGCCGTTTTCGTTTCTTTTTCTCGTAGGGAATTCCTCTTGCCTTAGCCTGTCCCTCCCTCACCTCCCTCAAATAAATCCTCACCGCTCGAGCGCCAAAGGGGTTTGACTCTGGCCGTCCCCCGTTCTCCTCGTACGCCGCCCTCAGCCGTCCGATGAGCGCGTCGAGGCTGCCCCACGCCTGCTTGAGAGGGCAGGCGCACGGGGCGGGAGGGTTCTGGTGTCCGAAGTAGGGGCAGCCGGCGGCGTGGACTTTAGTCTTCCCAAACTGGTCGAGGTACTTAAGGAATTCGATGACGTGGGCCCCACTGCAGCGGGCCAACGTGAGCGGAGGCTTGTGGTTCTTGAGGTACTGCAGGAAGGTGTTCCAGTCCCGCCGCTTCTGCGACTCGTAGCGGCTCGGCGGAGCGGGAGATGCTGACAAGGGCTCGGCCGCTACAGGAGTAGCCGCCGGGGCTGCGGACCTTGACGAAGACGACGGACCCTCGCTGCTGCTGGCGTTCGGGTCGGGCGGTCCGGCTCCACCTGAAGCAGAATCCATGTGTAATAAAAGTACTCTCTCTTTGTCTAATTGTTTTGGCTCTTCTGCTGAGTATTTTACAACTGGGTATTTTATATATAGACAGGTTTTTTTGGTTTTTACTTCTTCCTCTCTCTCTCTAGTTTCTAAGCTGAGGCTTTGAATTTTGGGTTGTTTCTGTCCTTGTCTCTCTACCCTCCTCCATGTGAGGGTTGAATATTTGGGGTGATCAGGTTCAGAGAGTGGAGGTGTGAGTATACTGTGAATCTCTTTTCACGGGAATTTGTTGGTTTTTTTTTTTTCGGTTTTGTTTGGATGAGTGAGAAAGGGAAGAGGGTTTTAGGAGAGAGAGAGTGAGAGGAGCGTTTGATGATGGGACGTAAGATGGATGGATGAATGAATATATGAATTTAGACTCTCTCACTCTCTCACCCAAGAAAATAAGAGAGAGAATGAGAGGGATGGATGAGTAGGAGATAGAAAGAAGAGAGGAAGGGAGAAATGGGGTGTGTGTGTGTGTATGTATGGCGGTAGTAATGTGTGTGTGTGTATGTATGGTTGTAGTAATCAGAAGGGAGAATTCACAATATTTTCACATGGGGTGGCCCCTTTGGAAGGACATGTTTACTATTCCTTCCTCCTGCCTTCTGCTGGCCGCTCCACTCTTAATTCATCTCTCTCTATCTTGACCAATCCAATACAATTTACCATTTATACAGGGCGATTGTAAACCCAAACACTACTCCTACCATATTTTTTTTCTATTATATTTATACCATCTTTCTAATAAATATAGAACCTGTTGGATATTTGGATCACCGGGTCCGCCCCACTCTAACGACACCAATACTATTCTCAACTTTACCACCTACCCAATCCGTCAGGTGTGGAGTTTTAGCACAAAAGACTTCGGTATTAGTTAGAGTAAGATAATCCTATTTAAACCCATTGGGTTTCTTTGAACCCACCGATGTGGAACATTTAACACTCCCCCTCACGTGTAACCACATTTAGTGGTTCATACATGGAAATCCACATCGGTAATTGAAACTCAGGTCGGCTCACATTGGGCCCACATCGGTGGGTTCAAAGAAACCCAATGGGTTTAAATAGAATTATCCTACTCTAACTAATACCGAGACATTTTGTGGTAAAACCTCACACCTGACGGATTGGGCAGATGGTAAAGTGAGGACAGTATTGGTGTTGTTAGAGTGGGGGGGGCCCGATGAGGGAGTGTTAAATGTCCCACATCGGTGGGTTCAAAGAAACCTAATGGTTTTAAATAGGATTATCCTACTCTAACTAATACCGAAGCTTTTTGTGGTCAAACCCCACACCTAACGGATTAGGCAGTTGGTAAAGTTGGGGACAGTATCAGTGTCGTTGGAGTGGGCTGCCCCGGCGATCCAAAAATCAAACATGGTATCAGAGCCCACGGTTCGGGCCGGTGCAAGCCAATGAGCTTGTGTGCAAGCCAACGAGTTAAGGAAACAAGTCTAAACTCTTAATATAAAGACGGTTACTGAGTTCCCTTGCAAACAAATGGGCCCCAATGTGAGCCGACCTCTGAGTTTCAATTATCAATGTGGATCTCCACGTGTGAACCACTAAATGGGGTTACACTTGAGGGGGAGTGTTAAAGTCCCACATCGGTGGGTTTAAAGAAACCCAATGGGTTTAAAGAAACCCAATGGGTTTAAATAGGATTATCTTACTCTAACTAATACCGATGTCTTTTGTAGTAAAACCCCACACTTGACTGATTCGGCAAGTGGTAAAGGTAGGGACAATATCGGTGTCGTTAGAGTGGGGCGAGCCCGGCGAGAGAGTGTTAAATATCCCACATCGGTGGGTTCAAAGAAACCCAATGGGTTTAAATATAATTATCTTACTCTAATTAATACCAAGGTCTTTTGTGGTAAAACCCCACACCTGACGGATTGGGCATATTGTAAAGTTAGGGACAGTATCGGTGTCGTTAAAATGGGGAGGGCCCGGCGATCCAAAAATCCAACATCATATTTAAACCCTTTTGGTTTTCTTGCACCCACCGATGTGGGACTTTAACACTCTCATTCACGTGTAACCCCATTTAGTGGTTCACACGTGGAGATCCATATCAGTAATTGAAACTCAGAAGTCGACTCCTATTGGGCCCACTTGTTTTCAATGGAACTCAACGGTTGTCTCTATATTAAGAGTTCAAACTTGTTTCCTTTTGGGTAACAAGCTCGTTGGCTTGCACACAAGCTCATTGGCTTGTACGGGCCCAAACCGTGGGCTTTGATACCATGTTGGATTTTTGGATCGCTTGGCCCACCCCACTCTAACGACACCGATATTGTCCCCAACTTTACCGTCTGCCCAATCTGTCAAGTGTAGGGTTTTACCACAAAAGGCCTCGGTATTAGTTAGAGTATGATAATCCTATTTAAACCCATTGGGTTTCTTTAAACCCACCAATGTGGGACATTTAACAGAAACCCACATGTGTTAGGGGCCCTACCTCTATTAGAGAAGTGGTAATGTCAGAGAGACTAAATTTGCAAACTAAATGATGTGTCACCAATAAAAGATAATGCTACATTTACCATATTTTTCATACCATGCATATTCGATTTTAATCTCACTTTTTTTTTTTTCTAGAACTCAAAAATTCTCACATTACTCTCTAAAACTCAATATTTGCTCCACTTTGCTTTGATTCTGTCTATTTTGTCCAAAAAGCTGTCAAATATGCCGACACGTATTTAAAAGTGCATATGTGGTGTCCATATGACACGCTTTAGATTCTCCAAAAAAACCACCGATAGAATCACCACTCTCGAAACCTCTCCACTATTCCACCAAATCTCGATTCATGAAACCAATCTCTACCATTGTTTCACTTATCTATGCCCTTAAGTCATACTCCAACAATTGGAGTAAAATTCAAATTTTAGCTTCTAAACCCACCCCGACTTACTCCAACCCTTGGGCCAAAACTGAGTTTTGGGTTAAAACTCATTTTTGGGGCAAGTTTCTATCAAGATTTAACATTAGGTTAGTTGGTTGGTTCACTACTGCTCGTGGACGCTCCCTAGAAGGATACACATTCATAGCGCAGACGCGCCCAACACCCTCAACGTGCAAGGCACTAACAACGCGGGTCGGCCAGCAATATGAGCCCAATGGCTCTTTCTTTCATCGAATGGTGGGGAGCAATGGACCATTTGTTCCATCCTACCGTCCAGATTCAAATTTTGTTAATTTTTAATTTTATATTTATAAATTCATTGAATCCAACAACTGAGATATGATATGATCAAATCTAATAGTAAAAAAAAATATCTAGCAGCCCAAATTTAAATCCAACTGTTAAAATAATTTTAAAAAACTATTTCAATCAAAATTCACCTAAAAACTCAATAAATAATCTCGGGCTAAAAATTTATTGGAATCTAAATTTTTTAGGTTAAAATGTTCATAAAATTAAATTAAGATAGCCTACATAATTTTTATTTAAAAGTTACTTTAAAAAAATTAGCCTAAATTCATTATTTAATAATCTTTGGCTAAAAATTTAACCTATAAGGGTTTAAGCAGAAAAACTATTTCTGGAATAAAATCTAATTTTTTTTTGGTTCAAAATTTTATATTTTAACGCAAGGGTTGGAGATGGCCTAAGCATAAATCCTAAAAGCTAAACCATCGATCGAATTTCAAGTTAAGTTATCATGGATATGCGGCTGAAACTCATATTATTATTGTATATCATAATATCATAATTTTTTATTTGAGAATTTTTTTTGAAGTAGAGCAATAGCATTAGTGAGTTAGATAGTTAGTTATTCGAGAGAGGAGAATCAGGAACTAGACCCGCACCGGGGTACATTCACAAAATTAATTTTCACCACTACAATGAAGCATTGTCATATCCCGGCCCAGGCCCCCACTACATCCCGGGCTCGACTCCACTGTAGCACGATATTGTCCGTTTTGGGCCCGACCACGCCCTCACGGTTTTGTTTTTGAGAACTCACACGAGAACTTCCCAGTGGGTCACCCATCCTAGGATTGCTCTCGCACGAACTCGCTTAACTTCGGAGTTATGATGGAACCCGAAGCCAGTAAGCTCTCAAAATGCCTCATGCTAGGTAGAGATGGGAATATACATATAAGACTTAGAGCATCCACTCCCCTGGGCGATGTGGGATGTTACAATCCACCCCGCTTAGGGGCCCGACGTCCTCGTCGGCACACTTCCGCCCAGGGATTGGCTCTGATACCAAATTGTCACATCCTAGCCCGAGCCCCCACCACATCTCGAGCTCAACTTCGCCGTAGCACGATATTGTCCGCTTTGGACCCCGACCACGCCTTCACGGTTTTGTTTCTGGGAACTCACACAAGAACTTCTCAGTGGGTCACCCATCCTAGGATTGCTCTCGCACGAACTCGCTTAACTTTGGAGTTCCGATAGAACCTGAAGCCAGTAAGCTCCCAAAAGGCCTCATGTTACGTAGAGATGCGAATATACATGTAAGGTTTAGAGGATCCACTCCCCTGGACGATGTGGGATGTTACAAGCGTCATCTACTTCTGTTTTTCCATCATTATGATTAGGGGAAAAGGCCAATGAAATGTAATAAAGCACGTAAAATACTAATGCTATAGTATAAAAACATAAACAAACTAAAATTTCCATGAATATATATGATTACGTGTCTGCAACATCAAATGTTTGTGCGTAGGGTAAGCATTGGCTTGAAGTGGATGGCAAAGAATTGGGTCTCGGTAAGGTCAAACATCTTCAGGCCATATAAGGACAGGAAGGGAAAAAAAAATAAAAACCCACTTGAGGAGCTTATATGGTTGCCCATGAAAGTGCTTAATCTTTGCTTCACTCAAGAGTGAAAGTATAATCCATGCAGCTGCTTTCAAACATTAATACATACCTTGAATTATTATGTTCAATCTCAACAGAAAGTGAGTACTCAAAATGAATAAGAGCATGTTTGAGATTGTTTTAAAGGTTAAAATTGTGTTTTTACAATTAATGATATTTTTTACTCCATATATTTGAGTGCGGAAGAAAATTTCAAAAGTGCTTTAGGATTATAAAAAACTTGAGAGTGCTTCTTACTTTAACGTGTTTCTAATAAAACAATTTTGTGCAAGCGCTTCATAGGATAAATATTCTATAGAGTCACAACTTTGCCTAGCTTGTTACAATGGTCCATTAGAATTGTAGGCTACCAATTCTCACACAACCTAACAAATTTTTTTTTATTAATAATGGGTTTGGAGAGTTAATTGTTGAATCATGATTGATAGGATGGAGAAATGATAAATACTAGGTTGAATGTAAAAAGGAAATAACTACCACTACCATAAAATTATTTAGTAGCAGTTGAATGTAAAAAGGAAATAACTACCACTACCATAAAATTATTTAGTAGCAGTTACCAACTTTTGTATTCTTTGTGATCTTCTCTTTTCATTCAACATACTTATGGTTTCATG